GGCAAGTGACTGGACTTGATGACCACTCAGGTTCCCTTTCAGTTCTAATATTCTATGATTTTTGGCCCCCTACTGAACCTCAGAAAGGTTTTTGTTTACACAGCTCCCAGTACCAAAAGGAAAGGGAAGGGTCAATGAGAAATCAGGACTCTGAAACTGAGGCTACAGCTACACTATAGCCTTCTTCCAGAAAAGCTTATGCAAATGAAGCACATCGTGGAATATTGCTGTGCTTTATTTGCATAATTAATTAGAAGCCACTTTTGCGCAAGATATTCCACGCTATGCTTCATTTGCATAATTAATTAGAAGCCGCTTTTGCGCAAGAGGCTTTTGTGCAAAAAGGAGCTGTGTAGATGGCTCCTTATTGCGCAAAACCCCCCTCTTGCACAAGAGCCATTCTTCCTCATTTTTTCAAATGATGCAAATGAAGCATAGCAATATTCCACGTTGTGCTTTATTTGCTCCCACACACTGAACCCCTCACTTTTTGCCTCACCCTAGAGCCTGGGAGGGGCTCACAAAATCTACTAACTCCAGAATCCCAAAAGAGTTAATCTGGCCTATGGAAAGTCCTTAACCTTGGTCTTCCCTGAACCTCTTCCTCCCTCCACTATGGAGCCGGAGCACCAGGGGAGTGAGGTGCCTCAGTTGGGGTTGGGATTTGTGGGGTAGGTTTGCCTCTCACTGTTGTATGACCCTTGACTGATGTTTCTGTGGATCAGTGGCTCCAACCCAAAAAAGGTCTCCCATTCCAGCTAAATAACGACAACATTGAAACCTTTCATTTTGGACATCAATTAATATTTTACTTTATTTAAAATGAAGCTTGGTAAACTAACATGAGAAAGTCAAAGCGCTTAATCTATTTAATTATTCTGATTAATAATACTTCCTTTCTTACAAGTTATATATGTCTCCTTACGTTATAGCTCTAGAAACCTAATATGAATAATTTAGTATTTAAGGTATTTAGAGATAAGTAAAGGCATTTTGTCATCATGGATGGTTGGCTTGTGGTCCATGGAAAGGTTTGCTTTGAGCAGGGTGGGCTGCAGGCCAAAAAGTTTGAGAACTTCTGTCTTATGGTAACCTCTGCTGGTTGATCAAAAGCGTTACACTGGTGTTGGCCTCACAGTCTCCCTCTGTAGCAGTTGGTCCCAACAAAGACTAAACATAAGAAGACAGCTGAGATTGTAGGAAGCATGTTGAAGTTAATTACTCATAATTGGTATGGACTTTTTAAATACACTGGGATTCCAAGTTTGTATATTATGCAAACCATAAATGGTCCTGCCATCCTGGAATGAGTTTATTTGCTGGGATGACAGAGCCATGTAAATCATGATGGGGTGGCCCTGAAAATGCAATTTGCAAACATTTGAGAGGGGATGCAATTCTCCACAGTCCATACAAAGTCTGTACATTTGAGGAGCAGGACTGACTTTTTTCAAAACTGATTGAGCTGCCCAGGCAGTTTCCCACTCAGTCAGGGCCGAATTAAGGAGGGGGCTAGCCGGACAGTTGCCCGGGACGTCAACCTATGGAAGGCACCTGATGGCAGCAATAAGGAGCGCATAGTGGAACTTACAGCTTCCATCAGGCACCGCGCACCCGGCTCCTGGATTGTGGGCTGCAGCAGCTTCCACTGGCCACCCTGCAGCAGCCGCCGTGCCAGCCAGCAGCGCCCTTCCCCCCGCAGCCACGGGGCCCTGCATGGACTGCCCCGGGCGGTCCCAGGCTGCGTGCCAGCGGGGGTAGCTGGGCTGGGCTGGGCACATGCATCCTGCCGCCACCAGCTCCATGTGCCCTCCTCCACGCGCCGGGACAGAGCTGTGCATGCGTCCTCCCCAACGTGCTGGCACGGGGCAAGGGTCACGCATACACACTCCCCCAACCCAGGGCGCAATTAAATTGTCTGCCCGGGGCTCCAGAATGGCTCGGTCTGGCCCTGCACTCAGTTATTCCTTCCTTTATCGTATCACCTTATCAGAATGTTGAACTTTCTACTTACAAAGCTCTAAAAGAGCGAGATATAATTTGTATTACACTCATACAAAGAGGCCCCAGCTGGGATCAAGGCTAATCGTAGGAGGAACTGTAGATACAATAAAGACCTTGCCCTACGGGAGGGGAAATAGAAGCACAGAGAGATGAGTGACTTACCAAGGAGGACACAGCAGATCAGTGACAGGGCTGGGAATAAAACTCAAGTTCCTTGCCTTTCACTTCAGTTCTCTGTCCACTGGTCACTCAGTACATTGAGAGAAAATATTTACTTTATATCAGGAGAGCAGGGCCCAATTTCAAGCTCCCACAAAACTGACAGAAGATCAGATATGATCTGTCTCTACAATTAGCTATCTGCAATCTCAGCTATGTGCACCACATACTTGGAATCCCCTTTCTGCTGCTCAGTATCATCTATAACAGTAATTTGTGGTCTTCCCTGCCCATATGAAATTCTGCTTTCTCAAACCACATAGCGCTTGCTATCTGGTCTTATTTTGCATACTGAAGGGTCTCACAAGCCAGGGAGAAATTGTGATCACACTGGCTCTCTCAAAGTCTTGGTCTAAATTTGTTTGCCAGCATAGCCACAATGGTCAGAGGTGTGATTTTTTTTCACATTCCTAATCAACACAGCTAGGTGTGCAAAAACCTGAGGCTGTATATATATATATATATATGACAGAGGCTACTATCACAGTTACAGTGCTGCATCTGTAGCATAGACATGTGCTACATCCGTCGTTCTCCACGCAGTACATGGTGCAGTACGTTAGGTTGTCTTAACTACATCTTTCAAGTGGTGAATTTTTCACCTCTCTGAGTAATGGAGCTAGGATGACTTCAAATTTTAGGTTCAGGCCAGGCTTTGTGGTAGATGCAGTTGTACTGGCAAAATACAGTAAACTTCCGATAATCGATCACCTTTAGGACCCAGGGGGTGCCGCTCCACGCAGTACATGGTGCAGTACGTTAGGTTGTCTTAACTACATCTTTCAAGTGGTGAATTTTTCACCTCTCTGAGTAATGGAGCTAGGATGACTTCAAATTTTAGGTTCAGGCCAGGCTTTGTGGTAGATGCAGTTGTACTGGCAAAATACAGTAAACTTCCGATAATCGATCACCTTTAGGACCCAGGGGGTGCCGGATTATCAGATTTGCCGGACTATCAGAAGGAGGGGGCTATGAGGGGTCTGGAGTGGGGGGGATGCCACCCCAGACCTCTCATAGGACCCCCTTCCGATAGTCCGGCTCTGCCCCAGGCGTCTCTGATTCAGCTGCTGCTGGTCAGTTTCAGCAGCGGCTGGAACAGGGGCGCCTGCCGGCG